CTCCTCTTTCTTCTCCTTCTCCTCCTCCTCCTCCTCCTGCACCCTCATCCGATCTCGTTGCTTCACCTCCCTCCTCTGAGCCCCACTCCCTATATTCATCCTCGCGCGAACTTCATTGAGGCAGTGGCCACTGTTGTATTTTCCTTGCCCTCCCCTCCTCCCCTCCCCTCCTCAATTCTCCTCTCCTCCCCTCTAAACTTCTCCTCCCCTCCTCCCCTCCTCTCCTCCCCTTTAACCTTCTCCTCCTCTCCTTTAGCCTCCCCACCACTTTTGTCCCTCGTTGAGGCTCATCGTTTGCATTGAGTTTAATTTTACAAACAGCACAACAAGCGGGAGCTCAAATGGCGCCAACATGAGAAAAGGAATGAGGCGAGTAGAATGAAATAAACCCTCTCAGTTCCAACACGCCTCTGCTCTTCAATCATCTCCCTTGCCCTTCTTCGTTATCTCATTCTTCTCCTCCTCCTCCTCCTCCTCCTTCTCCTTACTCCTCCGTCCTTCACTCCTGTTCCCTCGTCCAGGTCTTCATCTGTCATGCCGTCAGTGCCGTCTAGCTGTCGATTCCCGCACCTTCTTCTGTCCTGATCGGAGAGCGCCCGAGGGCTTCATGTCGCTCTGCGGTAGGCGAGTCAAGGCAGGGACAAGAGGGAGGGAGGGAACAGGCGAAGAGTCGAGGAGTTAGGAAGGTGCGAGCACGGACACTAGCAGTGGGAGGAGGAAACAGAGAGTGGAAGGAAGGTGAGAGAGGGAGGAAGAAGAGGAGCGAGGAAGAAGAGGAGCGAGGGGGAAGGGCGGAGGTTACCGCATCTTTGAGATTGTCCTTGTTCAAGCGCTGCATCCTCTTGTATTCCTCCCAGTTCCTTCGCTCCTCCTCGAGGTCCTCGATGGTTTCTGGAGGGTGACATCAGACAAGCTTCCTTCCCTCCCTCCGCTGCCTTACCAACGTCCTTCCCGCTCCTCACGTCAGTGATATCTCCATCCGGCACGAACTGCCAGACTTCGTCGTCCTCGTCCTCGTCCTCGTCATCTTCGTCGAGGTCGAAGAGGATCTCGCCTCCCTCCATCCCCAGCGTCTCCTCTGAGTCCTTGACATGCTGCTGGAAGGACACTTCCTCTATCTTTCCTCGCGCCAGGAACTCCTCGACGGCCTTGGAGGCTCGATCATCGTCGTACGAGTCATCGGCGACCATCGAGTTCTTCTTCATCTTCACCTTGTCCGCCATCACTTTCCACCTCCTCGGCACCTCGTCCCACGAGTCGATGACCTTAGATCCTCGCTTCATCTCAATCTCCTGCTTCTTCCGCATGACCTCCTGTGCCGCGAGCTGCTTTCCTTGCTTGGAGGACATCTTCCTTTCTTGGGCGACTGCATGGCGTACGACATGCGAATCTCCACCGTCTTCTCCTCTACCGTCACCTCCTTGCGGTCCAGCGAGTCCAACGCCTTCTTCGCCTCCTCCATGGACACAAACTTGACGAACGCGAACCCGAGCGACGTCGAATTTCTCGCCTTGTCGCGAGCTATTTTGGCGGAGACAGCCTTGAAACCCTGGAAGAGCTTCAGGAGCTCGTCGTCGTTCATGGAGTAAGGGATGCCTCTGACGTAGAGAGTGTCAGGAATGAGCTGATACCTCGTCCTGTTCTCCATCCCCAGACCTTTGAAGTCCGAGACCCGAGGAGGATGTTCCATCACATCCTCCCTGAGTTCCCGCTTGAGAATGTCCTGGACATGTGCAGGGACTTCCTTCCTCTTCCTCTCTTTCCCGTCTTCACTGCTCATCATGACAAGCTGGATCTTCTCACATGTTGTCCGTGGCGAGAGCACTGGATGCCTCTGTGCAAGCCTCCCCACCATTGCGACCTTTCCCTTCCCTCCTCCTAGAATGGAACATCCTGAGACGAATGCTAGGGGTTGCAAGCTTGCGGTGGGATGAAAGGAGGAGGCGGCGGTGAGGAAAAAGGAGGAGGAGGAGGAGGAGGAGGAGGAGGCAGCCATCATCGCCGCCGCACAGGAGGCGGAGGAGAGGAGGCACAGCAGTTGGTGCATGGCCCCATTTTGGATGGGCGCACCTGCTGGTCAGTGAGGGGAAGAGGGCTCTGGCAGGGAAGACGTTACGACAATTGACAATTCCGTTACAGTGGCTCGTGGTGATCGGACACTGAAGAAGATTTCGGGATGTATGAAGACTATATGTGAGAATTTGGAATTTCATAATAAGATTTGGGAGAGCTTCCCGAAAGGGGCCCAGAACGGGCTCTCGGAGATAACGCCGTGAGGGATGACCTACGCTATGAGCGGAGGGGAAGGGGAGGAGGACCAAGCCAGGGAGAGAGGGAGGGAGGAGGAGAGAGAAGGTACGAGGGTCTTAAGGAATGACAGGCTGCTAAGAGGAAAGAAGGTCAAGGTTCGCCCTTAGAAGGTAGGGAGGGGTGCGGGAGGTTGGAGGAAAGAAATGAATGCAATAACCCCAGCTGAAACTTTCCAACTGACCTGATTCGGCGACCAGCAGGAATACGTGTGAGAAGCTCCCTCGGGCAGATGAGAGGCTCCTTGCTGTAGGTCCTGCCGTCTTCGTGCGCACGTCGTACTACAAGTGTCAGTTGGAAGAAGCGGAAAACAAGCACTGTCTGATCGATGTCGGAAATCATCCTCGGAGGTCTTGACTCCTTCAGCAAAGAAACGAGGTAAACTACACCCTCTTCCTTCCGTCTTGCTGACCTCTTCTCTTGGTTGCTTCTCTCCTCTCGCCGCATTGCCGCCCGGCTCGTCTCCTCCTTGTCGCCAGCATTCTAAATCAATTCCTCTTCCCTGCTCCGAGATCGTCCTACACATGGGCAAACTTCAGAGGAAAGATGATCTGTGTGGTGGGGCGGGAAGGGAATGTCGTTCCCTGCATGCTGATCCCAGGAGAGTCGTTGGCGTCCACCTCCGAGAAGAAGGAGCACGCGTCCTGCCTCGCCATCTACTGCCATGCCAACGGCGAGGATGTCGGTATCCTGCATGAAGCCGGCAAGTGGATCTCCGACCATCTCGGCGTTCACTTCATCATCCCCGAGTACCCGGGCTACGGCATGGCACCTGGTGCGACTCGCTGCCCCTTCCTCCCTTGCGCTCCTCTGACGTCCCGTGTAGGTCAACCCAATGAGCTGAGTGTGAACAGAAACATCCGGGCAGCGTATGAGTTTGCCGTGCACGGACTGCAATGGGACCCTTCCCACATCATCTTCGTGGGGCGATCGATCGGGACAGGGTAGAACTGACCTCCGCTTCCTCCTGCTGCCTTGAGTCCAAGGGAAATCCGTCGGAACTTGCTCGATTGCAGTCCCCCCCCTTCCCCTCTCCTCTCCTCTCCACTCCTCTCCTCTCCACTTCGCCCTCCCCTCCCCTTTATCGTCCCTGCCTCTCATCGTCTCGTTCGCAGACCAGCGGTGAGGATGGCGGCAGAAGTCCGCTGCGGGGGCTTGATCCTCATCAGCCCCTACACGTCCGTGAGAGACATGGTGAGACAGAGAGGATGAGGACGGAGAGCGAGCGAGCGAGCGAGCGAGCGAGAGGAGAACTGCAAGAGAGAGGGGAGAGGAGAAGCACTGACTGCAAGCGAGAGGGGAGAGGAGGAGCACTGACTTGTCCCTCAGGTGCGCAGACACGCAGGCTCACTCACCTCGTGGTTGACTGCCGACTTGATCAACATCTTCCCATCGGAGGAGACCATCCCCTTCGTCCGGTACCCACCCCCACCTCCATCCCCAGCTCCACCCTCACCTCCATCCCCACCTCCATCTCCACCTCCATCCCCAGCTCCACCCCCACCTCCACCTGCCTCGCTACCCAGTATTTCTCCTCCCCCTCCCTCCATCAACACTGTCGACACCCCTCACTCCTCCCAACCCCTCCCCTGCTACCACCACCATCACCACCATCATCAGCAGCACCTCCACTTCCTCCTTCCCCTTCTCCTCCTCCCTCTTTCCCTACCCTTCATCCTCCCCCTCCCCTCGAGCGTGACTGGAAATTCAGCTGCCCCCTCCTCCTCGTCCATGGCAGCAACGACAAGGTTTCGCTTCCTTGCATCCTCTCGATCGGCTCAGCCTCGCAAGCAGATCATTCCCTCGGAGCACGCGATGAAACTCTACACAGCTGCGCAAGTGGAGGAGAAGAAGCTGGTGAGGAGGTGGTGGAGGGCAGCGGTTGCAGAGAGGGGAATGGCAGCGACCACGAGGACGAAGACGAGGAGGTAGAGGAGGTAGAGGTAGATGACGAGGACAAGGAGGTACAGGACGAGGATGACGATTAGGATGAGGAGGTCGAGGTTGAGGAACACAGGACGAGGAGGCAGAAGACGACGAGGGGGATGCAGCAGAGAGGGGAGTAAACTGAGTTGGCAAGCAGGTTCTCATCGAGGGTCTAGGGCATCACGGTCTTGATCTTCACCTCGCCGTCGCTCAGGAGGCTCCACAACTTTTCAACCTCAACAGCAAACCCAGAGTGATAACCCCTCCTCCTCCCCGTCATAACCCCTCCTCCTTCCCTCCTCCCTCCCTGTCATAACCCCTTTTTCGCTTTCTCTCTACAACTTTCCTCCTCCTCCTCCTCCTCCTCCTCCTCCTCCTCCTCCTCCTCCTCCTCCTCCTCCGCCTTCCCATCCTCCTTCTCACCTTTTTCTCCTTCAGCCGCTCAACCTGGATAAATATCTTCGAGACTCTTCCCTTCACCGCAAGTCTATCGCGTCACCCGTTCCGGGTTACACTGCCTTTTCCTCCCTTTCTCTTCCTCCTCCTCCTCTCCCCTCTCCCTTTCTCTTCCTCCTCCTCCTCTCCCCTCTCCCTTTCTCTTCCTCCTCCTTCCCCTTACCCCTCTCCCTTTCTCCGCTGCCTCCTCTTGTTCTTCTTCGAGAGCTCGAGCTGACATTCGGTTGCAGCCTATGACGTTCGTTTCAAGTCTTGGTGTCTCCCATCCCTCCCCCCAGTGAGCTTTCGAGCCCCCCCTTCCCTACATTCCCTCCTCCTCCTTTTCATCATCCGCTTCCTCCTCCTCCTCCTCGTCATCCTCTCCTCCTCCTTTCCATCATCCGCTTCCTCCTCCTCCTCCTCGTCATCCTCTCCTCCTCCTTTTCATCATCTGCTTCCTCCTCCTCCTCGTCATCCTCTCCTCCTCCTTTTCATCATCTGCTTCCTCCTCCTCCTCCTCCTCGTCATCCTCTCCTCCTCCTTTTCATCATCCGCTTCCTCCTCCTCCTCCTCGTCATCCTCTCCTCCTCCTTTTCATCATCCGCTTCCTCCTCCTCCTCCTCGTCATCCTCTCCTCCTCCTTTTCATCATCCGCTTCCTCCTCCTCCTCCTCGTCATCCTCTCCTCCTCCTTTTCATCATCTGCTTCCTCCTCCTCCTCCTCGTCATCCTCTCCTCCTCCTTTTCATCATCTGCTTCCTCCTCCTCCTCCTCCTCCTCGTCATCCTCTCCTCCTCCTTTTCGTCGTCATCGTCCTCCTCCTCCTCCCCCTCCTTCTCCTTGTCTTCGTCTTCCTCCTCTCCCCTCCTCTCCCCTCTTCCTCCTCTTCATCTCCCCCCCCTTCCCTTCCCCATCGCCGATCGCTCAACGGCTTCCCTCAGGATCAGACTCCCTACCTTGTGGAGGAGGAGGAAAGAAACGCAGACAACAACAAGAAGGTCAAGTCACCGACCGGCTCCTCATGCCTCCTCCCCTTGCCCGCCCCTCCTTACCCCCGCCCCCTCGTTCTCACACTCACTTGGTCCTCGCAGATGTTGACAGATGAAATTTTTCGTGATCATTTGCTGCGCAGCAAAGATGTAAGGCTCTTCTCCCTTCCTCCCTCTCCCTCTTCTTCCTCCTCTCTCCTCTTCCTCACTCATCGAACAGGTTAACCCTGCACTCTTCAAACCTTCTCCACATGTTGAGAAGGAGAAGGCCAAACAATTTTTCGCCACGGACAGCTCGGGCAAGGTTTGCGCACCTCTCAGAATCCTTGCTCCGTCTCTTGTCTTCGTCGTTTCCTCCGTCCTCCTCCTCCTCCTCCTCCTCCTCCTCCTCCTCCTCCTCCTCCTCCTCCTCCTCCTCCCCATCCACTCCCTCCCCTTCGCCTCCCCTCTCCCTCTCTGAGCTCCGCTCAAACTTCTGCCGCAGATAGTCTCGACCGACGAGGTCCACGCCAAGTATTCCAAGTTGTTTGTTTATTGAAGCTGTAAAGTAGCGCCGAAGGAGCAAGAGAACAAGAGGGGAGGAGAGAGACGAAACTAGGAGCAAGACGAGGGAGGGGGGGAGGGACAAGTAGGGAGGGAGAATATCGAGGGAGCAAAGAGCTGAGAGGCGTCAAACTTGCCAGCACTCGACCAGCACTGGAGGAACAAGTCAGCAAAGTGAGGAGGAAGGCAGGCGTTCACCTCCTCTTGGATCTCTTGCCGCCGTCTTCCCTCCCATCGTCTCCTCCTCCTCAATCTCAAAGGAGGTCTGACGGAGCTGGTCCTCCTTCTCCTCCTCCTCCTCCTTCTCCTCCTCTTCCTCCTCCTCCTCCTCCTCCTCCTCTTCGCTCTCCATTTTTCCTGCTTCACTGCCCAAGTTGTTTCCCTCCTCTTCGGTATTCCCGATGCTGCTCAGTTCCAGTGGGTCGTTTGCTATAGACGAGGAGGAGCAGGAGGCCGCTCGTCCTTTCCCTAGGCTCCAATCCTCCTCTTCAACTTCCTCCTGTTCCCGCTCCAGCCTCTTCAAGATGAGCTTTGCTACATCCGTCTCCTGCTACTAGTCATCCTCCTCCTCCTCACTTTCCCCTTTGCCTCTCTCACCTGTTCTTCTCTCTTCCTTTCCCTCGCCGCTTGTCGCAATTGCGCACGCAGCTCCTCCACCTCCTGCATGTGCTCTATCGCCTGCTGCTGCAGCTCTCCCTGGTAGACAATGGCCGCAGCCTCTTGAGATTCCTGCAGTAGCGTTGAGGAGGAGGCGGCAGAGGAGGAGGAGGCAGTGAGAGGAGTGAGAGAAGGAGCGAGAGCGAGAGCGGGAGGATGGAAAGAGGAAGGTCAAGCAGGAGAGCTTACGATGCTTCTCTGTAGCGCGAGGATCTGCTCCTGCAGCTCTGATATCCTCTCCTCCTGTCTCGTCTGCAGGAAGTGAGAGGAGAGGCGAGCATCCTCCCCCTCTCGTCCCTCCTGCAGCATCAGGTAAAGACTCTCAGTGATCGAGAGAGTCTCCCCTAGGAGGCCTGTGAGGAGGAGGACTGACTCCTGTGCTGCTGTCGAAGCTGCTACTTGCTTCCTGCTCGGCTGCGCCTGCCGTCTGAGCCGCACGGAGAATTCGATGGCAGCAGGAGGGCGAAGGAAGGAGAGCGTGACGTCCGAGCCATCCTGAGGCAGAGGCTCAGACCGAGCGAGAGAAGAGAAGAAGAGGCAAAGAGACGCGGAGGAGGGGGGCAGGAAGAAGGAACGAGGGAGAGGATGTGACGGGTCAGACGGGAGGGAGGAGGGGATGAGAGACCGGTCCCTGGACGAGGGAAGAGACTTCTTCTAGCCTCTTGTCTCTCACGCTGACGCCATCGATGGCTACCAGCACGTCTCCTCGCTCGATCGCTCCTGACATGGCAGCAGGCATGTCCTCGAGGAGGAAGTCGACCTGGCAGGGTGTTAGGAGACGAGGAAGCAGCGCGGTCTCACACCAGGAAGCTGGTGGCTGGTCGAGGGCGGGGTTTGAAGGAGAGAAGATTCTCGAGGTCCTGCGAGCCCAGGAGGGAAGGGGAGGATGAGGGAGAGAGGGAAAGAGGAAGGAGTCGCTCAGCAAGCATCATGCCAACTCCCCCGATCGGCTTCTCTGCCTGCAAGTTGACCTCCTCCACCTCCTCTGCCCTCCTCGCCTCCGCCAGGAGTGTAGCAGCTGCCTCCTGAACCAACAGCGCCCAGGCGTCGAAGACTTGGCTCTTCCTCCTCCTCCTACAGAAGGAAGAGCTTCAATCAAAAAGAACAGAAGCGGGGGGAGGGGGGGGGGGGGCAGATGAGGAGGAAAGGACGAGGAGGGAAGAAGAAGCGGGAGCAAAAGAGAAGGGAGGACAAACGAGGGAGAATGAAGAGGAGAGCTGAGGAGGGGAGAGGAGAGGAGAGGAGAGGAGAGGAGAGGAGAGGCCGAGGGATTTCAAAGTCTCACTTTTTGATGTGAATGGTCTTGATCATGACTCGACGTTCATCTGCCTCATCCTCAGCCAACCGCCTCCTCCCCCCGTCAAAACCTCTTCGCCCCCTCCAGCCGAGGAAGCAGCTTCGCAAGTTGGATCGCAGAACTGCAGAGACGAATGAGAAGGAGGCGAAAACGAGGTGAAAAGATAAAGAAGAGGAGCAGGAACATGAACATGAGGAGGAGGTCGAGGCAGGAAATCCCCTCTTATACTACCTCTAGCAAGCAGCTGCTGAAACGAATAATTTCGCAGGCGGTGAAGTTGGTTCTGAGAGAGGGAGACATCTCAAGCGTCAATGAATCGCAACCACAACAACAACCGCACAGACTTCAAAGACAACTACAATGACAGCGAGAAGGGAGCAGACTCGACTGGTATCTCATCGCTCGTTTCATCATCGTAATCATCACATGTACCTTGTAGTCTGTCTTGAGCTGCGGAGGAACGAGGCCGATGTCAGTCAGCAGCATGTGACAGCAACAAGCTGACCGCTTCTCCATCAATCGCTGCAGACTTGCGCTTGCAGGAGACGCAGAACCAACTCTCGAGGAAGAGCCGCATGGTAGACCGAGCTCTAGCCACAGGATGAGACGAGGACAATGGGCTGGAGAGAGAAGAAAGGACATTGAGGAGGCAGAGGAGGCAGAAGAGGAGGGTGCGAGCAGGGGCAGTGAAGGTGCAGGAGGAGGCGAAGAAGACTGTTGAGCAAACGTTTCACCTCCTGGAGGCCACGAACATGGCGATGGAGCAGTGGATGGCGAGGAGGCGAGACCTGTAGGAGGAGACTGACTCCTCGACTCGTCGCGACCTGGCGCCCGTCAGACCCCCAGCGCAGCTCCAGCTGGATCACCTCTTCATCTTCGAGCTGTGCTCCCGATGCTCCGCCAGCACGATAAACGCTTCCTCCTGGTCAGGAGTAAGCAGGGTGGGAGGCAAGAGGCAAGAGGCAGCAGCGCTCTGACCTTCATCCTTCCTTCACGTTGTGCCCGTCTGTTCATCTCCAGCCTCTGCCATCGTCGCCTCAATCGCACATAAGCGATCCACTGTCGACATGCTGCCCGCGCTCTCGCCCCGAGCCCTCTTCCTCTTCTCATCCTGCCGGGCTCGGCAAGGGCAGAGGCTGGTCGCCGCTTGTCTCGATCAAGTTTGGAGAGCAGCACCTCAACCCGCGCGTGCATCTCATCAGCGAGAGAAGAAGCAAGTTGATCATGGTCGTGATAGCACACGAAGCATGAAAAATCTGTATGAGCATCCATTTTCTTGTTGGCAACCGGCTGTTCAAGATTTTTCTTTGGCATTGTGAGGAAGTTTTCTTTCTTTACCTGCGACGATCTCATGCCTTCACTCAACTTCTCCTCAGCATCTCATCTGAACGAGGATTCAATCATCAGAGTCTAACCATCGATAACAGCCCATTTCTGTCAATGATCTCCTCCCCTTTGCCTCCTCTCCCCTCCTCCCTCCTGTCCTGTCCTGTCACTACACGCACTCTCATTCATCTGTTTGACGTTTAAAAGTATTTTATTGTTGGGCATGTGGGGGGATGCGGCCAGTCTCGCCGGCTCCGACTGAGTTTCAGCTGGCCTGACGACTCGCCGCCGGCTGCCTAGCAGAGGGTCGAAGACACAAGGACGCGGGGGGAGGAAGGAGGAGAGGAGGAGGAGAGGAGGAGGAGAGGAGGAGGAGGGGCGGGCAGCTCAGCCTCCAAGTTCACTGGTCGGTCATCGGAGCAGAAGCGTCGGACTGTCGACTGCGAGGAAGAATTAGACTCAGGAGCAGAATAGCCGAACAGACGCACGAGCGAAGAAAATCTCTGAGCCAGAAGAGATGATCCTTGGAGGAAGATTCCGGCGGCAAGCCCTCGTAGAACACGGGCCTGACGACCCTCGTCAACTCTCAGATCGCAACGAGAACCTCCTTACTTCCGATTGATCTGATGCTCCACGAGGTCGATGGCAAGATTCCCCTCGCTGCCTTGCACGTCAGCAAGCCTTCCCTCCCCTTCCCGTCGCATGCACCACCCCTCCCCTTCCCCTTCTCATCCACCACCCTTCCCCTCATTTGCACATGCCTGTCCCTGACGTTGACATCCACCCCCGCTTCCACCAGGACCGCCTGCGAGGAGTCAGGGGGCAAGAGGAGGCGGCAGGAAGTTTCACCGCCGTCTCGTTGTGGCCGCACATGCAGGCGGTGTGCAGAGCCGTCTGCGAGAACGAGTTCAAGGCGTTCACTTCCGCCCCGAGCTCCAGCAGCTTCCCGACGACGTCAGTCTGACCGTCAAACGCTGAGTGATGCTGCAACAGCTCTTAGTCTCCACCCCATCCTCCTCCTCCTCCCCCTTCTCCTCCTCGTCCAGTCCCCCCCCTCCCCACTCTCCTGCTCCTTTCGCCACCCCCCCCGGTCCCTCGTGATTTCCTACTCACAAGAGGTGTTCCTCCATTTTCGCTCCTCCCCTCCAGGTCTGCCCCCAGCTCCCGCACGTACTCGATCACAGAGAGGTTGCCTCTGCTGCAAGCGACATGCATGGGGGTGAAGTCGAAGATGTCGGGGTTGTGATGATTGATGTCTGCTCCGTCCCGTAGCAGCTGTGTAAGGTTCTCCCTCCAATACGGATTCTACGAAAGCTTGTAAGACGGGAAGGGAAGAGAACACCAAGAGGATGAAGATGATCAGCATCCTGATCAGGAGGAGGAGGAAGAGAAGAGTGGTGTGGAGGAGGAAGAGCAGGAGCAGGAGCAGGAGCAGGAGCAGGAGCAGGAGCAGGAGCAGGAGCAGGAGCAGGAGCAGGAGCAGGAGCAGGAGCAGGAGCAGGAGCAGGAGCAGGAGCAATTAGTGATGATATAGGGGGGGGAAGAATGTCGAAGAGGAGCAGAGTAGGTGCAGGATGAGGAGGATCTCTTACTAAGGGTATGGTCACTTCCAGCCGCTCGTCGTCTTCAGTCGGGGGTTCAACGGATTCAGTGAAGTTGGAACCAGCGAAGATCCAAGCGAAGACAAGCGCGTTCAGCTCAGACGTGCGTGTGATGTTCCATCGCAGCAAGATCTCGAGCTGAGAACAGCAGCCAGTTAGCGGGTCACGGGAGGATCGTACGGTCACCTTGCGTGCCTCCTCACTGTCAGGCAGAACTTCTGGATCCTTGGTCTGCGGACGTCAGACAAGAGGAGGAAGAGGAGGAGGGAAGAGAAGGCGAGAAGAGGAGGAGGCTCACTATGTTGTCAAAACGCTCGCTCATCGCCTTCAAGTCTGCCTCCTTCTTCTTTCGCTCTTCGATGACCTTCACTGCCATCGTGCGGGCCTGCGGATGGAGTGAGTCGAGCTGACGGGTGGGAGAGGGCGAGTCCACCTTCTCCATGACCTTCCGCATAGTCCGTGAGTTCACTGCAGGCAGCAAAGGATGGGAGTTGGGGATTCGACAGGACCAGTATCCCTTGGGGTAGAAGAAGTTTCGGGGGTAGAGCGGATGCTGAGTCTGCCCTGTGAGCTCTTCTTGCCCCAACACGTTGTGCCAAGCGTCGGGATCATCGGGATACACCAACTCCGGGTTCTGTAGCAGGTGTCAACCGTCTCGCCATGCATCGTCTGCTACAAGCAGGCAAGGGCGAGGGAGAGGAAGGATGGAGTACCAGCCCTCCGAAGCGAGGTTTGTCGGAGAAGATTGCTCTTAGGGTCTCGTTGAGCCCAAAAACTTGCTCGGGGTCTGGGCTGATGAGAGCAAGAGGGAGGATCTCGTCGATCAGGTAGCGGTACACCTCGCTCTGGTCCCTACAGACGTCCAGCAGTCAATCGTGCTGTAGCCCCAGCAGTTGATGAGAAGCAAGTCAAACCTTCGGTCAAGAATCCTTGCAGCTTCTTCTTTGCTCATAGGACCATCCTCGGGATACCCAATCTAATCCCAGTCAAGCTGGAATCATAAAATGTTTTCACACACCTCAAACATGTCCTGGCGAAAGTGCTTGACTTCTATAGCTCGTTCGAACTCGTATCGAGCCGTCTTGTTCCTCCTCCAAGTCTCCTTCACATGCCAAGGGACATTCTCAAATCCTTGCTTCAAGGCCGTGAGATTCCTGATGTACTCCAGCCTCCTCCTGGCGCTATTCAAGATCTTCAGGTCCTATGAAATTTCACCACACATCACTTGGAGGCGATTGAAAGCTTCGAGAGGAAATGGCTTCACCAAGCCCTGTCGGTCGCAGAAGGCCTGAAGGGACTCATTGAAGCCTTCGCACGTCTGAAATTTTTTCAGATGTAAAGAGAAGGTGGCGCCATCACTTGAACCTGTTCCATCACTTGTTTGAACTTGGGAGTCGGCTCATCATCATCGGTGTCGCTTATCGGAATGTCACCACCCTCTAGTAGCCAGACCTATCGAGAGACGTCAAGAGGAGAAGCAGCTAATGCATGCTCACGTCCTCCTTCGTCTTGTTGCTGTTTTCATAGTGATCCATATTGTAATCATCATCATCTTGCGGAATTCCAAAATTGGGTTCCTGCTTGCAGGCATGACGAGGAGGGCAGAGATGGTGTGTTGAGCACCTCCCAAGGATCTGTGCCGAAGACGGATTGTCGAATCTTGTCCTTGTGAAGAACGATGCGCGGGAGGTCCGGGTAAGGCTACCCATCCAGTTACGCCCGTAAGAAATCATCTCAATACCTGTGGATGCTGGGCTGTTGGAATGGTCGTGGTGTCGAGGGCAGCCAACAAGGAATCCTCTGAATCGGGTTCTCCTCCTCTCATCGCTCCCACGCCAAGTCTCTGCCCGTTGATTCCCTTGAATGCAGTCTGCTGTCGAGGTCAGAAAAGCTTCATTTCAACCAGGAATCATCTTCATCTGCATGCATGCGAACCTTGATGTCTCGCGCTTCGCACGGGTTGAGATCCCCGGCCTCCTCTTCGCTGAATACGTTCTGACATAAGATAGTGAATCTCAACAAGATGATGCATTCGATGTCTCACGGCATCCCGTATGTTCTGAACTATCTCATCAGCATTCTCCAGACTGTAACTATTAAAACATGTGTCAGAAGGTGGTCAGTGCAACACAATCAGCAACGTTTGCGAAGCAATTGACAGCCTCGATGAATCATTCAGGAGATCACCACTGCACCTCTCGTCACATGAGCGTTGAAATCAGAAGGCATGAAGTAACATCCTTACCAACTTTGTATGAGATCCTTAGAGGTTCGCAAAAGCAAAAGCAACTTGTTTCCCAAAATATCGGTCCTTGCATTACGTAGAGGCACGAAGATTGGGGCTGGGTTGTTGACGCTCTTCAATCCTCCCTTCTTGTCGTACACAGAGCCATCATTGGCCACATGATCTCCATAGATCTCATTGACTGCAATCTCAGCAACTTTACCAGCAGGCAGCAATAGAGAATCAGGGTCGTCGTTCTCCTTCAAGCAAAGTCTGGTGAGCGCCCTCTCATGTCCCAGGCGATCTGACAGCGAAGCCTCGAGCTGTTCGGTCTTGTCCCTGAGCAGAGAGAGCTCCTTCACCGCCTCTCTCACTTGGCCAGCCTCCAGCCTGCGACCTCGTCGATCATTCAACGTGGAGTTTGCGAACTCAGTTGCATATGACAACAAGGTAAGTTCATGGACTTGGTCTTCTCCGTCGTCTTCCAACATGAAACCTTCATTGTTTGTCAAAGTGTCTGAGCATTGAACTGCTTCGAGATGGCTTCTTCGCAAGGGGAACGACTCGCTAACCAAGGCCTGAGATGCGTTTGACCGCCTGTAGGCACTAAAAACGATAAAGAGCAATAGAGTTCCTTTTCTGAGCATCCTCGTGGGAAACGTCCAGCGCGAGATCAAGTGTTTATGCAGGTTGTGCTTGAGTTTCTACTCGGATGGTCTCCATGGAATTGCTTCGACGAAGTTCCCTAAGATCGTATCAAGCTACCTCCGAAGTTGGTGCAGTTCCAAGTGACCCCTCAAGGCCTGTCTTGTGCAACCATGAAGGCGCTGAGCGTCTGGTATCAGCTGCGTCGTTCTCCTTGCCCTCTCCTCTCCTTCTTCTGCTTCACTCCCAGCTTCTTACTCAACTTGATCTCCCTGCATGCCGTCGCATCCAACCGTTATAAAATCGAGTTTAGAGTAACGGATACAAGAGTAACGGATACAATTATGACGGTTATACATGGGATATGCTAGTGGCAGGTTACTAGTTAAGTGTTAGTGATCAGTAGCGGCGTCCGATCAATGCTCCGTCAACTGCCCGCTCCATTCCCCTGAGCTCCCCTGCCGGATCTTCCAAGCTGGATGACTACTTGTGCACTACTGCCAGGTCCGGGCCTGAGTCTGAGGGACACGCGTCGGGTTTCCGAAGAGTCCGCCAGGCCGGAGCGCGGCCGCCCGCCCGCCGCCGCGGGCCCGGCGGAGGACAGGCCAGGCCCGATCGGACTGGGCCCGGTCAGCCACATCAGCTTTTTACGTGACGTCTTTTTTTAAAATTGTTTTAGGTCTCTATAGAGGTAAGAAGTTGACTGAAAAATTGAAGGCATGGCGATGGCGATGGTGTTGAGGGTGTTGGCGGGACTGAGTTTGATGGCGGGAGGAGAGGCGTTTGTGTGCTATCAGGTCTCCTCCCCTCACTCTCCCCTAGCGTCTCCATCCCTCTGCTATCAGCACTCGAGATGTAGCCTCCCACCTCGAGCATGGACGAGGAGATCGAGTCGACCTGCCGTCACCAATGTGATGAGCCTGGAAGACAACAAGAAGGAGGAGAAAGTATTGAATGGGATCAAGCATCCTCGAGAACGATTTGTTGCTCTCACTCGTGAACTAGGCAAGAACTTGAAGCTGGAAAAGGCTCTATCTGAGAAAGGAGTTCGGACTGTAGAGCTCCCGTGCATTGCTTTCGAAGCTGGCATTGACTCAGACTCTCTTCCTTCAGCTCTCAAAGAGGATTGGGAGTATGTAGTTGTGACCTCCCCTGAAGCGGCTTCTGTCTTTCTAGACGCATGGAGGCTTGCCTCCCAGCCCTCCCTGCAGGTTGCCTGCGTTGGGACGGGAACCAAGCAGGCGCTACAAGAGGGAGGCATCGAGCCCGTCTTCATGCCCAGCAAGGCAACAGGGAAGACACTGGCTGACGAGCTGCCAGGACCTCAGGGCAACGGACGAGTCCTGTATCCTGCGTCTGCCAAGGCTCGCACGGAGGTACAAGGAGGATTGACGGCAAGAGGCTTCACAGTCACACGGCTCAACACCTACGACACGGTTTCAGCCACATGGTCGGAGCAGGAGCTGCAAATGGCTGCGAGCGCTGCTGTCGTCGCCCTCGCAAGTCCGAGTGCAGTGAAGACCTGGGCAGAGAGACTGGGAACCAAACAGTATGCGGCATGCATAGGAGAAACTAGTGCTTCAGCCTGCAAAGAGCTGGGCTTCGAGCACGTATTCTGGCCTGAGAGCCCTGGAATCCCAGGATGGGCACAGGCTGTACATGATGCGCTAGAGGAGATGGAGAGTGCTGAAATGAGCAGGAGCAAGTGAAGATGAGTCAAGAGGATGGTGAATTTGTAGAAATTTTGAAGGTGCAGGCAGTGGCTCAATGGGCAAGTGCGGACCTCTAAGACAAGAAGGCCTTGTCGTTTCTTTCTGTACATACGAACATCGAACGGCCTGGCACTTCTTTCTAACTGGTAGAGGGTGAGGTCAGTTGACGCATCAACAGGCTTGATTGTCATTATCGTATTGAGTCTCGTCAAACTAATAAACTTGTTGAGTCGAATCTTGTTGCTTCCTGGTATCTTGGCCAGGCTGAAGCCCCTGCGAGAGCTTCCGGGCTAGCGCTCGCTTGATCTCTGCCTGAGCCTTCGCTCCTCTCAACTAGCTGGCACCAAGCAAGCACAGCTCTCACCTCCGCATGCGCAACTGCATCATCTCGTTCACTCGCTGCTTGGGTCATGGCGAGGCGGAGGCTGGAGGGATTTTCAGCTTGACTCAGGGGAGGAAGGAAGAAACGTACAGGGCGAGCTTCTTGTCTAGGCTCGTCTTCCTCTGACGCGCCTTCGCCAGCAGCTCCTCCTCCGCCACCAGTTGGTGCAGCAAGGCACTGAGCTTGTCCTCCATCTGTCGCGCGGAATGATAACCGTCACAACCATCGGGGCTGATGCTGCTCACCTCGTGCGAGAGTTTCTCCGCGTTCTCACAGAGGGGCCACTTGTTTGCATCCTCCTCCTTTGGAGTCAGAGGACGAGACCACCGCAAGGACGCAAGCGGGTGGGGAGGTCGGGCCGCGGGCTGCACGCCCTGGTCATGAGAGGGTTCTGGCGGCTTGCAGGACGTTGGAGGAGCTGCAGCGACTCAGATCGTCTCGTCTCATCGCAGATCGTCTGCTCTCACCTCTCGAACTGCCCAAGTCCACGTGGCGCTTCTTGATGAAGTCGCTGACCCGAGCTGTCGCCTCTTTCCACTCCACGATCCCCCGCAGACTGTTGAGCAATACTCAGCGAGAGGGAGGAGGAGGATCACAAGGGGAACATGCTCGCGTTCTCCATGAGCAGCTCGCAAGTTTGCATGCTTGGAAGAACTTTTCCTTCTCTGGTAGAGCCTGCAAGGCATGAGACTCGAGCGATTCTCATAGTCATGGCAACTTGCTGGACTAGAGAGGATCTTCTTGGCATCTCTTTCGACCTTCAGGACCAAGTCAATTCCTTCCTTTCCCCTGCTTCTCCTCCCTAGATCTCTTCCTATCAACTTGATCGCTTCTCTTCTCTATCTCACCATCGAGAAACTCTCCACAATCGCATCAGCGTTGGCGCTGACTTGGATCTGACAAGCGTCAGACATCCTGATCAGGTCAGGATCGTTGTATCCAGCTGCCGATTCATCCTCATCTACCCCTTGCTCATCAGTTTGCTCGTTGCTGGTGAGCGGATATTGACCTTGCGGCAGCGCTGTCGTCGAGGAGGGACGGAGGACCTCGCTATCACTGGGGAGAATGAGACGAAGGGAACGAGCAGCGCTTGGATGTTACCTGCTTTTGTCCAGCAGCAGCAACATGGCGTTCTGCGATGTGTGAGCGAAGGGCAGAAGGAGGAGGAGGAGGAGGAGGAGGAGGCGGGGGGGTGGAAGGGGGGGGGCGGTCACACCAAAGGCGCTCAATAAGGAAGTTGTGGCTCAGGTATCTCTGCGATTCCGCTATGACCTGGGCGAGTCGTGGGTCGAGTCTGGCAAGGAGCTGCAGATGCTTCGTGAGGTCTCACTGAAGTTGGGACTTCAGTTGGAAAGTAAGCACACCCCTTCACTAAGGAGGCTTTTGCTGCCATTGCCCCAGCCGAGAAGCCAGCTGCACCCCCGAGCAACGGCCTATCAACAACTTCCAGCAAGATGAAGAAAAAACAAGAACACACCTCTATCACGTGCGGCTAGCCCAATAGTGGGCTCTCCCGCAACAAACATTCAACGCTGATGACATTCTGGAAC